CTGATCTTCTTGATAAATTACATCTGCCAAGCTTTTTTGCAAGGGAACATACTCCTTATCAACAAGTATGAGGCTCAGTTTAATACCTTATCACAGTTTTTTTTACTCAGGTCTGCAAATTAAAGAACTTGTAATTTTTTCTGAACTACTTTCTTCTCCTACCGATTCTAAAAATAATTAGAGGTATGTACCCAATTGTAACCCGGAACGTTAATTATGACCATAATTTTGGTTCCGGGCTACTTTATCTTTGTAATAAAGTGGAAAAGAAACAACGTAGCAGCAAAAATATTTGAAAATACTCTCAGCAATTTTAACCCAGAATGTTAACTATGACCATAATTTTAGTTCCGGGCTACTTTATCTTCGTAAGAAAGTGGAAAAGAAACAACCTAGCAACAAAAATATTTGAAAATACATAGCAATTGTATCCCGGAACGTTAATTATGACCATAATTTTGGTTCCGGGCTACTTTATTTTCGTAATAAAGTGGAAAAAAAAACTTAGTAAGAAAAATATTTGAAAATACTCTCCGCAATTGTAATCCGGAACGTTAATTATGACCATAATTTGGGTTCCGGGCTACTTTATCTTCGTAATAAAGTAAAAAAAAAAACAGCCTAGTAACAAAAGATGTTTGAAAATACGCAGCAATTGTAACCCGGAACGCTAATTATGACCATACTTTTGGTTCCGGGCTACTTTATCTTTGTAATAAAGTGGAAAAGAAACAACCTAGTAAGAAAAATATTTGAAAATACTCTCCGCAATTGTAACCCGGAACGTTAATTATGACCATAATTTGAGTTCCGGGCTACTTTATCTTCGTAAGAAAGTGGAAAAGACACAACCTAACAACAAAAATATTTGAAAATACTAATATTATGACCATAATTTTAGTTCCGGGCTACTTTATCTTCGTAAGAAAGTGAAAAAAAAAACAGCCTAGTAACAAAAGATGTTTGAAAATACACAGCAATTGTAACCCGGAACGCTAATTATGACCATACTTTTGGTTCCGGGCTACTTTATCTTTGTAATAAAGTGGAAAAAACAGCCTAGTAACAAAAGATGTTTGAAAATACACAGAAATTGTAACCCGGAACGTTAATTATGACCATAATTTTGGTTCCGGGCTACTTTATCTTTGTAATAAAGTGGAAAAGAAACAACCTAGTAAGAAAAATATTTGAAAATACTCTCAGCAATTGTAACCCGGAACGTTAATTATGACCATAATTTGAGTTCCGGGCTACTTTATTTTCGTTATAAAGTTGAACAAAAACAACTTAGTTACAAAAATGTTTTAAAATACTTTATTATTATCTTTTTATAAGGTAGAATACAATGAACAGGAAACAAAAATGTTTGATATTACTCTCAGAAATTGTAACCTGGAATAATAACTATTTTTAATTTGCAAATGATAAAAAAAAAATGAATTTACAATTTTACATTTTTGCAGATGCTATAATTTAAACTCCTCATTTTTTTGGGGGGGGGGGGGGGCTCAGATAATTAACACTTTTTTTAAATTTTTGGAGCTGTTATAACCTCCTCTTCTTTTATATTTGGGGGAGGGGGTTGAGATTTAAAAATGGAGGGGTGTTACATTATTGCAGCTTGCCTTCTGCCTACATGTATATATTTGAATTTTTTCTCCACAAATTTTGATATTCATTAAACATAATGGTATATATAAAACGATAAAGTTTTAAAGTGTCATAAAAATCGTCATTTTCTTATTGTGTTTTATGTATAAAAAAACACCAAGGAATAAGCTTTTCCCAAATATCTTAAGGGGTGGGTGGGTAGGGCATGCATAGAACTTACAGAAAAGTGCATTTCAAGACCTTTAAAACATAAAAAAAAAATCACTTAAATTTTGCTAAAACCTTGATTTTACTAAAATATTTGAGCTAATTCAGTTTACCTCACTGCTATTTTCACAATCAACATTGCTGGTCTTTACTTTTCATATTTCAACCTTGTTTTTTTTTTCTTCCTACGGTCTTTAAAAAACAACAACAACATAATTTTCATTAATTACTTGTGTTTGTTTATTCTAAGGGAATAAACCATATCGTTATGTTTTCATGTTTGTTTCATTGCAGAATAAACCTCATATTCCTGAAATATCCATTGTTAATTTATCACAAAAACTATATAACTATCTTCATCAGTGAATTATATTTTTTTTATGTTTGTTTATTTCTAATGGAATATAAATCATATTTTCATGCCAAGTGATAATATCTATGAGGAATGGAAGCCATTGTAACGGGAAACCTGTACGTTTCCATGTTAATCCAGATTCAGTGATTTACAGAGAGAAACACATTTTTAAAGGTTAACAAAGGTTTATTAAATGAAATAAATAAATAAATAAGTTACAATTAACAATATTACAAGTCTAGGGGATGGTGGATACCTACTCGCAGCTTGTCTCATTCTAGCACTGATCTAATCTGGCCGTTGCGAACGTCACGGTGGTCAGGCCTATAAATCATAAACTGTAATTGTAATGAAATAATTTCAAATCCTTTGTATTATAATGATACATGTACATGTTTTATATTATGTATAATATGGACTGTTAATTGAATATCGAATATTCTTTGTTGCCAAATATGATGTTGTTACATATTGTTATGTATTGCAATGAATGCTTATAGCTGTTATAAAAAATTACTATCTTTATACTTATGTACTTGACTAATGTATGTGTCGCATACATTAGGTCTTAAGAAGGGGTGAGTGTAATGGTGGATGATTTAATTATAGTATCTATATATGTTATTAAATCTTTGTTATTTATTACAATGTATCTAGTCACGTATTAAAATGAATAATTATTGTAATATTGTGTTGTGTAACATTATACTATTATTATATTATTATTATACTACATTTAATGTCGGGTTCGTTGCCGACTTTGCGCGTGTGTCAGGCCGTTCGGGACAACGTCTGGACGTCTGTTAACGGCCTGACCACCGTGACGTTCGCAACGGCCAGATTAGATCAGTGCTAGACTGAGACAAGCTGCGAGTAGGTATCCACCATCCCCTAGACTTGTAATATTGTTAATTGTAACTTATTTATTTATTTATTTCATTTAATAAACCTTTGTTAACCTTTAAAAATGTGTTTCTCTCTGTAAATCACTGAATCTGGATTAACATGGATACCTACTCGCAGCTTGTCTCAGTCTAGCACTGATCTAATCTGGCCGTTGCGAACGTCACGGTGGTCAGGCCGTTAACAGACGTCCAGACGTTGTCCCGAACGGCCTGACACACGCGCAAAGTCGGCAACGAACCCGACATTAAATGTAGTATAATAATAATATAATAATAGTATAATGTTACACAACACAATATTACAATAATTATTCATTTTAATACGTGACTAGATACATTGTAATAAATAACAAAGATTTAATAACATATATAGATACTATAATTAAATCATCCACCATTACACTATGTATTCGAGGCTCGACATTGTGGAATTTGCAACACTTGTAATATCATTTAAACAGAGAATGCATCTCTGTAAATACATATAACATTTTGTGTTTAATTCTTTAATTAATCAGATTATAAAATTAAAATTTACTGATCAAATTTATCTTTGACACTGTGCTTCTTTTTAGGTTTTTGTAATCTCAGTCTAGTTTATCTTCTATCCTCTTTATCCTGTAAATACCGGGTCTGTGTGCATTCAAGCGAGAAATTCACACCTGACATGCACTAAATAAACAAAGGGGCTTAATTTGTATGCATTAGATAACAAAGCCTTTCATGCGACCAAATCTTATTCGGTGTGTATGTATCAGATAGCGATCTTTACTTGGGCTATTTATTCATTTATTATTTGGTTACTCAATACTGAAGACAAAGAAACTCTTAATTCTGTGGGCAAATTCATAAATGATAACATGTTGTAGTAGTCAAACAGTTTTATATATAGTATTCCCTTTAACTGAAATAGTACAATATTATTGTTGAAATGAGTAATGTCATTTACAAGTTGTTATACTATCCATTGGCATATCTTTTCTTTATTTTTGTAATAATTTCATACTTGTCTGTTATGGGCTCTAAATTAGAAAATAAATGTTCTGTTCTGTTCTGTTTATTTTTAAAAATGGCTGTACAAAAAGGGCATGACGCCTTATAAAAAGAACACTGCGCCACATGAAAATGGCATGCCGCTGCGCCATGCTTAATCCTCAAGGAAAGAAATACTTCTATGGCTCAGTGTAGAATGGCAGATAATAATTGAGAGATACCGCAATTCGAAGATTGCAGCCACGGCCGGAACCAAACTTACAGTAAAATCCGGAACCAATATTATGATTTTAAGGTTCCGGTCGGAACGCGAAGTATCCGGAACGTAAATTATGCGACACCCCCCCCCCCCCAACTGAAAATGTATGCTTATGCCCCCTCAAAGTGAAATTGCTTCCTACGGGCCTGTTGTATCTGACAAGTCCACAAAAATATCTGAGAGGTTGACATAAACATCTGACAAGTGGCGGCAGAAATATGCCATCATACTGTGCAATTGTATTACTGTCTTTATTTTTTCAAGGCTCATTTGTCTTGAATGTGTTGAAACTTGTATAAACCTATAATAAAATTATTTTCAAGATTCTTTTTATTAAAGGAAAAAATTTCAGTTGGAGTGTGGGCACTACCTAACAGAAATGAACAAGCAAAACTGAAGGGTCATGAAATGTTTTTGGGGACTCAAACGCAGTTTGTTTGTTGTTTGTTTGTTTGTTTTTTTGTTTTTTTTTTGTCATAGTAAAGTATTTACTGAAAACAATCTTTTATGGACACGTCCCCCCGTTTCCCGGTTCACAAGATATAACGGCCTTGCCTGTCTGATATGCGCGATATATCTTTCGTCAGATAGAGGCAGGCAATACCAGTCTAGTTCATGAGAGAATTTAACTCGGGATCGGTAGACACAAAATGAAGAGAGCATGAGGGAAAACAAAACTGTGAAAACAGTGAAAACTCAATTTTAAAAGTGACGCTAAAATTGAAGCTTGAACTTAATGCGAACTTGAAAGGAAAATGAGCGATGGTATATTTGATGTTATATATTTCATCTTTATGATTTATATATGTAGGTTCCACAACCTTACATGGAGGTTTGAACTTATTTCCAAGACTTATATGATTTAATGTATAAACTAACACTGTGACAGTATTGTCTCTTTTAAAGGCATCTACTACAGCAGACAAACTTTCAACTTCTCATCCAATTATTGTTTGGCAAACAATTTTTTTGCCCCACAGATTCTCCTAGCTGTGCGAGGAACCCTTCCCCTCCCCCAGAGTTACAGGAGAACACAGACTTATTTGAGGCAGGAGCCATTCGCAACACAACCTTCAGTAAACACTGGCTATTTTCCACTCTCATGAAACTCATTGAGGTACAATTTTCATAAAAGATAAAGAACAGACATAATGAGAAAGTGGCACAGGCACCTTAGTACCAAAATATTTTATCTATGAGATGCAAATTTAATCCTATAGTATGAAAAATAACACCCCAATTACATGTACTTGCAAAAATATGTACATGTAAGTGGGGTGAAATCTTTCAATCTTGGCTTTTATTTGAAACTGATAAAATATCAGGTGCCTTTGAAAGTAGTTGCTGCATAAGAAAACATTACGTCAGAGTAAAGTGAGTAGACTATATAATTTTTATTCAATTTTAAAATTGTTGACAGCTTTATTGTGTTTGTATCATTGCCAATTTTGCATCACAGTCTCTGCTTATTGGATGCATACCTCTTGTAGTGATGGGGAAAGTACCCAATAAATAGATATTATACACGGAAATTTTTGCCACTTGGCTTTCACCCTAGACACCATCATGTGGGCGAATTTAAGATATAGCGAATTCAAAGAAAAAAGTATAATATCTTAAACAAAACTGTAACTGGGTGAAATTAAAATTGTTTGCAAGTGTTCCTTTAAAAGAAACTATACAACAAAGAGGTAAAATACCCACAAAACTACAAAAATGGGGTTACTAGCTGGATATTAGGTTAAATGGATATCAATGCTGTCCTATAGCTAATTTTATTGAAAATCAGAAGAAATTCTGGTTACAACTTTTTGTGACTCGTAACTCATGATGATTGAGTCAACTTGTTGCAAGTGTTGCCTCATCATAAGTTATGGGTCACAATTCATAATGTAAACTATAATGTAAACTATTTGTGTATAAGATGTGGAATAAAAACAATATTATTTATCAGCTAGATAAGATAAGACAATATTTATTTAAAGTCGGGTAAATCAATAAGTAAACATTAGCTCTGAAGATTTTCTGACTGCATAATACTAGTACACATAAATACAACAATCATACAGAATAAACAAAAAACAGTACTTTAAAGTATCCCACTACTGAAATATCAATATAACTAAAACAAACAAACAAACAAAAAAACAAATGGAAAACAAGTAAATTCATGGCAACATCCTGTATTCTAGAAAATTATATAAATGAACTTAATTGTAAACAAGCTTATTTTAACAATTTTGTGTAGCTTCTTGTCCACTAAAGAATAAGCTAATGTATGACTAGAACAAATACGTGGAGAAGCATTGCACCAATGCACTAATTTATGAGGACGCTAATATTTCAAACAGGTAGGGTGCATAAAATTTTGTATGTCTTAATTTTTGTAAGTTTACAGTTTTGTCTCAATGATGAAGAAAGTAGAACTATGATTATATCTCCATGTTAAGCATTATGTCACACTCCCATGTTTTTTTGCAAGAAAACTATAAGTTTATTATATATGTCAGGCCAACTTTAAAATAATGTTTGCTTGCCCTCTCCCAACCCAGGAGGTAGGTGGGGAATTTTTTTTTCTTACAAAATTTCAACATCAATGCTGAATTTTTAAGATATATTTTCTGGAATGCATAAAAAAAAATTGCTTCCCGGAGGTTAAAAAAGTTTTGAGTCGGGCCATTTTTAGCCAGTCGGTCGGGAGAGGTAAACATGGCCTCACCTACAAAAAACTTTTTATTGGGGATTTATTTAGTCATATGGTTATTACTCTTACAGTTGGTTATCAGACTGTTTAGGAATTTTGCATTTTGATAGGCATGAATTGCATATTATTGCATATAAACATTCTATTACATAATGGTATGTAAATAGCAATCTCTGTATTCCAAGAAACCATATATACTGTGGATATTAATATTACATAAATTCATATTGGAAATGAAAGATGGATGTATTTTTATATGCAAAAGGTCAAGTACATGTATATGTAGTGTAATTCCCCATCAAATTTTGTCTAGGGTACAACTTGAAAAAAGTCAACCATTAAGGACCCTCTATACACTAGTGATATATGATTTTTGGACATTGAGAAAATTATATTGTATAAATATGTAAATATTGAGTTTATCTATTTCATTTTCAACATAGGGTACCTCCCATTTATCCCCATGCATGAAAATTGTTGAAAGACAAGAAATGTTGATGATCAGAATCAATGTTGCTTGATTAAATGTGGAAAAATGCATGCAAATAAATTGTTCAAGTAATGTATTTTGGCATAATTATATGTTAGGAATACCAGAATTGATTGTTAATTGAATGATGCTCTGTAAATACCAATTATTTCATTTTAGATCTAAGTGCAGATCACTCTAACTGCATAAAAATACCATGGAATTAGAACTCTTTAGTGTGCAGTGTATTGAGGGTCCTCAATCTGAGGTGTGGTTACCAGTTAAGTTTGTGTGTAGGTTACTACTACTAGTTGATGTGTGTTCTTGATGAGTTAACTTGGTTACAGGTTGGTCAGAGTACAAGTTGACTCAATACCATATTACTTGTAGTGAAATATATACATGATATTTGATTAATTTCATTATGTTCCCAACTTAAGCAACATAAAGGGCTTTGAAGGCTTCCTTTTTTTAGACCCTTAAATTTAATTACTTTATAAATATAAATTATGAATGTAAAATCAAATGACCAAAAATCTGAAAGAGTTTAAATTTTTTTTTAAAATGCTGAAACTAATTCAGCTCCAAGTTCTAACCAACACAAAGATACATTCACTGGTGACACCATCTGGCATGGAAGGAATACACCTCATAATTAAAACTACTTTAAATCCTTATATACACAAGACCAAATATTTCCAGCTCTGGCCATGTGGAGGCCTCCATTGTGCAGAGCCTTATTTTAAATTTTATATATTAAATAAACAAAAACATTCCAGCCAAAGCGCCAATAAATTTTAAAAAAGAGGTAAAGATAAGAGATATAATAAAATGAGTAATATTTTTGTAAATAAATCGTCATCATAGAATATGAATCTTTTTGGAAATCATGTATGTATATTTGAGCCAATAAAGCACAAAGATAAACTCCTCCACAAGACGAAGCCATATTCATTGTTCATTCTCATTCCCATCTAGCAGGAGAGAATAATGTACACACCCATCTGGCAGGGGAGGAATAAGCCTGATACTAACATTGTACTTCACATTCTTTTTTAGAATGATTATTGCTGTTAATGTAAAGGTTGAGAGAAATGTTGTTGGGTTGTTTTAAATTTGGTTTCATTCTATTTGTGACTGATTATTGCACACCATTATACATTCACAAATCAGGATGGTGGTCATAACTAGTAATAACTAACCCTACTCTAAGTCCTAACCTAACACAAGACCAAGCTGTACTCCTGGTCACACCCGTCTGGCGGGGGAGGAACAAGCCTGATAGTAACCCTACTCTAAGTTCTAACCTAACACAACACCAAACAGTATTCACTGGTCAGCACCCGTCTGGCGGGGGAGGAATACTGCCTGATACAAACCCTATTCTAAGTTCTAACCTAACACAACACCGAACAGTATTCACTGGTCAGCACCCGTCTAGCGGGGAAGGAATACTGCCTGATACTAACCTTACTCTAATGCCCTGTTCACACAGAGAGTTTAATTCGCAGTAAATTAATTCGAAGTAAACTAATGCGAATTAAACTAATGCGAATTAGATTGCGTTCACATGAGAGCTACTGCGAAGTAAACTAATGCGAATTAAAATTATATTTCTACAGTAAGGCTATTCTGTAAGCCTATTATGACGTCATTTTCAAATCACGTCACATTGTGCAGAGCAGGTACATTTTACATAATGTCATAGTGTCTGTACACATTTTATTGATTAACATAATTTTCTTTGGTTTTCCACTCAAAAATAGCACAAGTTACTATATCTGACCGCCGACAAGTGGTCTTTGACTTAATTCTGCCCTTACGCATGCGTCAAAATTTAATTCGAATTAGCTTCGCTTAGCGTTCACACGGAGCTAATGCGAAGTAATTTAATGCGCAGTAAATTAATTTGAATTAAACTAATTCGCATTAAATTCTCCGTGTGAACGCGGTTCAAATTTAATTTGCAGTAACTTACGTTTAATTCGAATTAAACTCCCCGTGTGAACAGGGCATAAGTTCTAACCTAAGACAACACCAAGCTGTACTCCTGGTCACACCCGTCTGGCAGGGGAGGAGTAAGCCTGATACTAACCCTACTCTTTGTCTAATTTCTAACTTATACAAGACCAAGTCATGTGGATACCCTTGGTAAGTTGTACATCAGTTGTCGGAAGATATTAGTGGAACAATCTGGAGCTGGTCATATTCTTTTTGAGACAGATCATTGCTATTTCTGTCACCAAATTTGAGAAAAATGTTGGTGGAGTATTTTGAAGTTGGTCACTTCTATCTGAGACTGATTGTTGCTATTAATGTCACAAAAGTAGTGGAGTATTTTGAATTTGGACACATTGTACTTGAATTTGATCACATTCATTTTTAGAATGATTATTGCTGCTAATGTAAAGGTTGAGAGAAATGTTGTTGGGTTGTTTTAAATTTGGTTTCATTCTATTTGTGACTGATTAGTGCATTGTCAACATCAGAAAAGTTGGAACACACCATCATACATTCACAAATCAGGATGGTGGTCTTGAGTAATAACTAACCCTACTCTAAGTTCTAACCTAACAAACACCAAACAGTATTCACTGGTCAGCACCCGTCTGGCGGGGGAGGTCAATACTGCCTGATACTAACCCTATTCTAAGTTCTAACCTAACACAACACCAAACAGTATTCACTGGTCAGCACCCGTCTAGCAGGGATGGAATACTGCCTGATACTAAGCCTACTCTAAGTTCTAACCTAAGACAAAAACCAAGCTGTACTCCTGGTCACACCCGTCTGGCGGGGGAGGAATAAGCCTGATACTAACCCTACTCTTTGTCTAATTTCTAACTTATACAAGACCAAGTCATGTGGATACCCTTGGTAAGTTGTACATCAGTTGTCAGAAGATATTAGTGGAACATTTTGGAGCTGGTCATATTCTTTTTGA